AGTGTGTGCCGGGTATTAGGGCCACACTCTTAACCCTACATTGTAGCCTAATAGTATAGGTGACCCAAATAGCAGCGCCACATGGAGCTGTATCAGTTGTATTCACATGTTATGGTTTTTATTACTAGATGTGGTACCCGGCGGTGCTCGGGTCCACCTTGATGAAATATGTGCCCAAAAAGGTTACCGAGAGCTGTCGGAAAATGGGTTAGGGGTCAGACGACTTTCATTTCTTTTGTACAGTCAGAGGGGCCTAGTGATGAAAGTACTGGATATGCTAAGGTGCACAGAACCCTGGCTGTCTAGGTTCGAATCCTTCAGGGGTGAGAAGCAACACTTATTGGGCCAGGCAGAGGCTTAGGGCCCGCGCAGGAATTTCCTTGCCCTCCCCCCCAAAAAGGGTGAAAAGTTTTCTGTTGCATATATGGTATGTATATATATTATATATAATATATATATATATATATATATATATATATATATATATATATATATATATATATATATATATATATATATATATTGTGACGGTAACGCGTTGGTGTTCGGCTGTTTAAGGCTAGGGGTATGGCCTCGTCACATAGTTATAAAAAAAAAATAGAAAAACTGGAACTTCGTCTGTGGTAAGGTAAGGAGAAGACACACAAAACACAAGTAAACTTTAACAATGAAATTTTAATTACGTTAAATAAATCAAAACATGAAAAAATGGACAAACAAATACTTATAATAAAATCAATCAATCAAAATAATAAGAATACTTAAATGACACAATGAAAAGTTACGTTAAGGCAAAATAACAAGAAGTGCAACACAAAAGTAAATGGGAGGTGCTGGAATATTGGCTTTAAGCCACCACTTCTCTCAGTACACGCTAGCGTCTAGCCGGGAGGAGTGGTGACAACGAGAGCACCGAATATTCTGAGGTCTGAGGTCGTGGCGACCCCAGACATCAAGTAGTATGGGGGGGCGAGTGCAGGTGCAGCCAGACCGGCGACCAATCAGCGGGGCCGGTAGCGATCAATGAGTAGTTTGGCGGTTTGAGTCTGAACAGGTGTCTCTGGCTGCAACGTTTTGCGCTCTGGCAAGCCTTGCTGGTGTTGTTGTCGTTGTTGGACATTTCTTCCATAGTAGTTTTATATAACCACAACGACGTAATTGTGGAGGGAAGAGCAGGCTCAATCTCTTGAAGGAGATTATCGTCACAATATATATATATATATATATATATATATATATATATATATATATATATATATATATATATATATATATATATATATATATATATATATATGTCGTACCTTACATATATGTCGTACCTAGTAGCCAGAACTCACTTCTCAGCCTACTATTCAAGGCCCGATTTGCCTAATAAGCCAAGTTTTCCTGAATTAATATATTTACTATAATTTTTTTCTTATGAAATGATAAAGCTACCCTTTTCACTATGTATGAGGTCAATTTTTTTTATTGGAGTTAAAATTAACGTAGATATATAACCGAACCTAACCAACCCTACCTAACCTATATATATAGGTAAGGTTAGGTTAGGTAGCCAAAAAAAGCTAGGTTAGGTTAGGTTAGGTAGGTTAGGTAGACGAAAAAACATTAATTCATAAAAACTTGGCTTATTAGGCAAATCGGGCCTTGCATAGTAGGCTGAGAAGTGAGTTCTGGCTACTAGGTACGACATATATATAATGTCGTACCTAGTAGCCAGAACGCACTTCTCAGCCTACTATGCAAGGCCCGATTTGCCTAATAAGCCAAGTTTTCATGAATTAATTGTTTTTCGACTACCTAACCTAACCTAACCTAATTTTTTCGGCTACCTAACCTATCCTAACCTATTAGGTTAGGTTAGGTAGGGTTGGTTAGGTTCGGTCATATATCTACGTTAATTTTAATTCCAATAAAAAAAAATTTACCTCATACATAATGAAATGGGTAGCTTTATCATTTCATAAGAAAAAAAATTAGGAAAAATATATTAATTCAGGAAAACTTGGCTTATTAGGCAAATCGGGCCTTGCATAGTAGGCTGAGAAGTGCGTTCTGGCTATTAGGTACGACATATATATATATATATATATATATATATATATAAAACAGTAATAATGTAACAGTAACATATGTAATGATTATTAATTATTATTGTTATTGTTATTATAAAAATTATAATAATAATTGTTGTAATTACCAATTATTACTCTTGCTTCTGCTGGTCATGAAGGAAGCCGGCCTCGGGTGACAGGGAGCTGTGACGACCTCTGTCAGGAACCCGTAGGTGCGGGACCGGGACGTCCACCTCCTGTGGCTCGTGCGGCCCCCCAGGCTCTGCTTCAGGAGGCTGGGGTCGTTCCTGCCCTTGCTGGGGTGGTTCTTCTCCGGCCCCGACCACGGCGGTCTCCGGGTTTGGGGTCCCTGTGTCTTCTTTTACCAACTTCCAGGTCAACTCCGGAGCTGGAGCCCCTGGAGCAGTTCGTTGTTGCCCTCAGCCTCGTTCTGACAGTTCCTGCGACGGCGCTGGAACCAATCGTATTGGCGTTTGCCTTAAAATTGGAGACTTTCGGCGCCGTGGAGAGGGGTGACCTGCTGCATGGGTGACAGCTTCTCCCCCGTGTCAGCCTACCCTGGCTTTGTGCCCTGGAGCAAAGCACTCCAGACCGTGACTCGGCTAGCCAACTTTCATCTCCACTGATTTCCAGAGGGTCGCCATAGGAGCCGATCACCTTTTAACTCTTGCTGCCCGTAAGATGGTGCAGCAGGAAGTAGGGAGCGGAGAGACGCGGTAGTCCCTGTGAACAATGTTTGGGAGACAGGAACGGCGAGGATTAAGGCAGTAGGAAACGAAGCCCAAAAAGTGTACCCTGGTGGTGGTGAGGAGCAGGGCGGCGTCGGGAACTTGGTGCACAGGTTTTGGAATACCTCAAAAAGTTGGGCAAGAGGATTGAAGCTCTAGAAAACTTAGCCATGGCAAAGAATCCAATCCAAAGAATCCGAGACTACCATTAGGAGTGTTAGTTGCTTCTTTGGCAATGCAATACATTTTTGAAAGACATCGTACTTTGTAACATTTGAACATAAGGTTTTCTTATTATATATACTCTCTTATTATACTTTAACATGCATTGTTCATTTCTTCCCACCTTTTGAAGTGAGAGGTCTAATGATCTAGTTCATTAGATCCCCCTCCTTTCATTAATCTAATCGCCGAAGCTACATTTATCTCTGAAATTCTATCCCCAGTACTCTGTAGGTTCAATTCCATCCTCATTACCTCAATGATACATTTCTTGGCCATCCCAAGATTATCATCAAGGCTTCATTCTGTCTGCCTTTTGCAAAACAAGAAATGACAGGTGACTAGACCACACACTAGAAGGTGAAGGGACGACGACGTTTCGGTCCATCCTGGACCATTCTCAAGTCGATTGTGCAAGTCGAAATGACAGGTGCAGCATAATCAATAAGTAATCACAGTATACTAAGTGTTTACTATTGGAATGTGAAATGTAAAGTAAGATTAATATTTGTGTACTGTAGGGGTTTGTGAGCCCCTTGAGGGACCTTAAACAGAGGAGGGTAGAAATAGCCTAAGCTACTCTATCCTCTTGAGATGGATTTCATTGCTTCAATAACCTTCCTCAAACTTGAATCTGACCAGGCCTCCTGGTTGATGGTCTGATCAACCAGGCTGTTGGACGCAGCTGCTGAAGGGGACACCGGTCAGATGTAGCGGTTGTGTTGGGGCTCTAAGATGGTTTAATCCTCCACTCTCACCCAGGGAGGAGAGTTAATGTCATGTTGTTGTTGTTGTTTTTAGATTCACCTACTCAGAACAAAAAGTTCCAAGCAGCACGGGCTATGGTGAGCCCGTCGTACTCAATAGCACAGATGATGTGCTGTAGGGTCATGTAATCCCCGCCTTAGATAGTTATCAAAGGTCGGTGAGTTAATCCTTTTCCGAGAAGTTACCAGCTTCTGGTCTCATCCCACAGTCACAGGTGGGGGTCAATGGGTATTAAAAAACTGGGGACAAGTTATTGAAAGATTATTGGCTACTCATGCCCGTGCCACCTCCGGCTGGCTTAATCTTCACCAGTCAATCAATCAGTCGGGGACACAGAGACAGCAGGAGCGGAGGTTCAAGTCAGTGTGTAAGTTGCGGTCTCAGACTGAACAAGTATCCGGTGGGCCATTGGTGTACACTACACAAGAAGGGAGAGTACGGACCTCTGGTGTCGCCCATCGAGTTCATCATATCGGGATATTAAACCTGGCGAGTGAGTGTGTGAAGTGGTGTAACTGTGTTTCATTATTATGTGTGTTTTGAAACAACAGGGGCAGGTAGCCATATTGATTTCTCGCCATCTTGTGCAGTGACTACCATTGAGGAGTTAGTCAATGCTGAGATTGTTATGTAAACTTGTATTCGAAATGTCGAACAATCAGAAAAAGAATGTCAACATCCAAGCTGTAAGTTTGTATGTGAATCAAATCTCCTAATATCTTGGATATATTATTTTCTTCGGTTAACGTTTGAATGTTATTGCATGTTATCATCAATGTGATAACTGTGAACAGGAGACGATTTCTGTTTTTGTTAAGTACTGTGCCCCAGCAAGGGCAGAACTGCCCACTACTGGGTGCAGGGTGCAGAAAGTGTTACATTTTGTTTATAAGTCAACTCAGTCATTTGTAATTATTGCCACAGAGTGATACAAGAAGATATCATTCCCCCCATTTGTCTGCACACTCTAGTCATCGCTAGAAAAGCTGGTCTTTAGCCTGGCTGCGATAGAACAAGAACTCTTGAAATGGGTCATAGGTAAACCTGGCATGATATCCATTTCAACACTTTACCCACAAACATTTAAATTATTTGTAAGAAACAAAATACATGTTTATATTTAAGATGTAATACTAATATTGGTTAATTTGATGCATCACGTGTGATTTCTGTGTATAACTAATATTGGTTGTTTCCCTTGCAGACACCCCCAAGCCTAACAAGGGAGGGGGGGCGGCGCTCCTAACTCGGGCACTCTCCTTCAAGGGCAGACTCGGTGGTAAATTGACCGGCATGAAGTCACCCAAAAGTCACTCAGGTGAGCTGAAATATTATCATGCAATTGTTCTAGTTTATTTGAGTTATCCCAAGTTACTGTCACGTTACGTAATGTGTTCCTGGTTATATTCTGATATAACAGCCTTTTAGATCAAGTTGTCGCTTAGAGACACCTTGTCACCTTGTCTACACCCTTGAGGTGTAGAAGAACTCTGAGAACTATAACAGGTAAACTCGAGGTAAACTAGATGGAAATGTGTCAAGAGTGTTCTCCTTTTTCCTATTGCAATCAAATGAGCTAGTTGGTTACAGTATTCATCTTCAATAAAATTTCTACATTACTTATCCGTACACCGTTGTGCATGTTCATGGTGGCGCAGTGGTAACACACTCGCCCCGTGCCTCGAGACCGATTTGATCTGGGTTCGAATCCCAGCCAGGACGGATTGACTGGGAGCCAATCCTTAACTGCTCGCCTATGTTAACCAAGTACTAGTTGGGTACCAGGTTGTTAGCCAATTGGTGGGTCGTGTTCCAGGGGAAAACTAGTGGAGTAATGATCTGGGACTAATGATGTCAGATGACACTGTCATCTCTCACTGTACTCACCTGGTTGTGCTTGCGGGGGTTGAACTCTAGCTCTTTTTTTCCCACCTCTCCACTGTCAATCAACTGGTGTACAGATTCCAGAGCCTAATGGGCTCTATCATATCTATATTTGAAACTGTATGGAGTCAGCCTCCACCACATCACTTCCTAATGCATTCCGTATGTTAACTACTCTGACATTGAAAAAGTTCTTTCTGACGTCCCCGTGGCTCATTTGGGTACTCAATTTCCACCCGTGTCCCCTTGTTCACGAACCACCTGTGCTAAATAGTTTATCTTTATCTACCCTGTCAATTCCTTTGAGAATTTTGTAGGTTGTGATCATGTCTCCCCGAGCTCTCCTGTCTTGCAGCGACGTAAGGTACTTCACGCAGCCTTTCCTCGTAACTCATGCCTCTTAGTTCTAGGACTAGCCTAGTGGCATACCTCTGAACTTTTTCCAGCTTCGCCTTGTACTTGACAAGGTACGGGCTCCATGCTGGGGCCGCATACTCCATTATTGGTCTTACATATGTGGTATACAAGGTTCTAAAGGATTCCTTTAGAACCTTCAACTTTTTAACTTTTCTTTAGATTCCTTTAATGCCAATTGGTTCTAAAGGATTACACAGGTTTCTGAAGGCAGTTCTAATGTTAGCCAGCCTTGCATACGCCGCTGATGTTATTGTTTTGATGTGGGCTTCAGGAGAGAGGTTTGGCTGTTTCCCTTGCAGCTATCAACTCCTAGATCTTTATCTCTGTCCGTTTCATTAAGTACTTCATCACCCATTCTGTATCCTGTGTCTGGCCTCCTGTTTCCACTGCCTAGTTAAATAATAATAATAATAATAATAAAACTGCCTAGTTTCATTACTTTACATTTTCTTGGGTTGAAATTTAGTAGCCATTTGTTGGGACCATTCCTTCAGTAAAGAACATAAGAACAAAAAAAACAAAGTAACTGCAGAAGGCCTATTGGCCCATAGCTCCTATTTATATCCACCCAATCCCACTCATATACACGTCCAACTCACGCTTGAAACAATTGAGGGACCCCACCTCCACTACGGTACATAAGAACCAAAGTTTGTGTAGGTCATCTTGTAGCCTCATACTATCTTCCTCTGACTTAATCCTCCTCATAATTTTTGCATCATCAGCAAACATTGAGAGGAACGAGTCTATTCCCTCTGAGAGATTTACATATACTGTATCAGAAACAATATAAGTCCAAGAACTGATTCCTGTGGGACTCCACTGGTGATGCCTCACCACTCTTGAGACCTCACCCCTCACAGTGACTCACTGTCTTCTGTTGCTTAGGTACTCCCTAATCCAATGGAGTACCGTCCCTTGTACTTCCCTTGGCTAGCATTTTTAGCACAACCTTCTCTATCAGTTTGCATGGTATGCAAGTTAGCGACACTGGACTGTAGTTCAGTGGCTCCTGCCATTCCCCCTGCTTGTATATCGGGACTACATTAGCTGTCTTCCAAATATTTGGTAGTTCACCTGTAACCAGTGATTTGTTATACACCATGGAGAGTGGCAGGCACAGTGTTTCTGCTCCTTCCTTTAGTATCCATGGTGAGATTCCATCCGGGCCTATAGTCGTTGTCACATCCAACTCTAGCAAATGCTTCCTTATTTCCCCACTGGTAATCACAAACTCCTCTAGTGGTGCATGGTTAACTATTCCCTCTCTTATTTCTAGAAATTCTCCTTGCTCTAATGTGAAGACCTCCTGGAATTTCTTATTGAGTTCCTCGCACACTTCCTTGTCGTTTGTAGTGAATCTGTCTGCCCTATCCTCAGTTTCATTACCTGTTCCTTCTCTGTTGTTTTCCTGATGTGGCTGTGCAGCAATTTGGGTTAAGTCTTTGCCTTGCTTACTATGTCATTTTCGTATTGTCTTTCTGCCTCGCTTCTCACCCTGATGTATTCATTCCTGGAACAATAGTATCTTTCTTTGCTCTCAAGTGTCTGGTTATTTCTATATTTTCTCCATGCCTTTACTTTAATAATAAACAGATTAAATGGGTACAAATAAACCAAGACCTCACAGAAATAAGCTAGGAAGAACAGCTGGAAAAAGCAAACCTGAACCAGACTCTTCAGGTCACTTGTGTTGTCCCATCTCGAGCACTGCTCAGTACTCACTTCCCCCTTCAGAGCAGGAGAGATTGCTGAAATAGAGGGAATACAGAGAACATATACGGCACGCATAGACGAGATAAAACACCTAAATTATTGGGATCGTCTCAAAGCTCTCCAAATGTACCCTCTAGAAAGGAGACGAGAGAGATACCAAATAATATACACATGGAAAATACTGGAGGGTCAGGTCCCAAATGTACACAGTAAAATAACAACGTACTGGAGTGAACGATATGGAAGAAAATGCAAGATTGAACCAGTGAAGAGCAGAGGTGCCATAGGCACAATCAGAGAGCACTGTATAACATCAGAGGTCCGCGGTTGTTCAACGTCCTCCCAGCGACTATAAGAAATATTGCCGGAACAACCGTGGACATCTTCAAGAGAAAACTGGACGGTTTTCTAAGAGAAGTTCCGGATCAGCCAGGCTGTGGTGGGTATGTGGCCCTGCGGGCCGCTCCAAGCAACAGCCTGGTGGACCAGACTCTCACAAGTCGAGCCTGGCCTCGGGCCGGGCTTGGGGAGTAGAAGCACTCCCAGAACCCCATCAAGCAGGTATAAAGCAGGTATAGACCTATAAGAAGCTAGAGAGCTTTCCCTTCCAATAGCTGATGATGTAGCCTAGTGTATCAGCACCAGGACCCGGATTCACAAAGCAGTTACGCAAGTACTTACGAACGTGTACATCTTTCCTCAATCTTTGACGGCTTTGGTTACATTTATTAAACAGTTTACATGCATGAAAACTTCCCAATCAACTGTTGTTATTATTATAAACAGTCTCCTGGTGCTTCGGAGCTCATTAACTGTTTAATAATTGAAATCAAAGCCATCAAAGATTGAGAAAAGATGTACAGGTTCGTAAGTGGTTGTGTAACTGCTTCGTGAGTCTGTCCCCAGGTCCTCCAGAGGTTTGATTGTATTAATTATCCTGTACTGAAAGTTAAGCGTGACAGTGTTAGAAAACATTTAAATTCACATCAGAAACACAGAATAATAATAAGTTGTCTACTGTGTAGGTGTTTTTAATTAGAGATGAGAATTGTTTGAAATATAATTGTTTAGAAAGCGGAGTGTTAAGGTTGAGGTATACAGACAACGCTCTAAATTATTATACAGGTAATGGCATGGAAACAAAGCAAGGCATTGTAGTTATTAGTTAATTCATGCCTTCAGCATGTATGAACTTTTTTTTAAGAGGAATTCACTAGTATTCTTAAAGAGTTTTTACTAAAGGAAACGATGCTACATTCTTATAGGTAAAGGAAAACATTTGTTATTCATAAATGAAGTATGTGTAAGAAATATACAACAGAATTGTGATGATGAATGATTCTACAGCCGACACCATCTTAGGCATGATAATCGCCCCGTTCCATCGATTTGTCATTCACAAAAATGCAACTGATTTCCCTAACCAAAATACATAAACCCAAACACCCCATCTAACTTTTTGAGGCCGATGAGTAGAAAAAAAGGTAAATTTCTGCAGTGCATCATGATTTTTAATAATACGTCTCATTTTGAATGGATTGGTTGATTCCATTTAAACTGCGATGTATTAGACCTACGCAGTTTAGTCATAGAAATGTATAAGAATAGGCATGAAGGCAGCATGAGGTGGGTATGAGTGGCACAGTCACCACATGGTACATGTATGTACCATGTGGTACACGGTACATACATGTACCTTGCGGTGACTGGCAGAATATAGTAGGTGATAGTTTCCTTGACATTTGTTAAAAGTCTGGATATAAGTATGACCTTTAGAACCTTGCAACAAGACAGGTGCACTTGTCTACCTCATACACAATACTGGCCATTGCATCAATATTAACAGAGCTAAATTAAACATGAATAAAATGTAAAAAGTAGATGTGGAAGGTCTCATTTTATTGTCAAATGTAATTTTTTTAATCAGAATAAATAAATGTTGTATTAATCACTACATTTGCTTGTTTGTTGATTGGCAATGAACCTGTTTTATAACAGTTATTGTTGATATAACATTTATCCGTGCCACTGTTGCCCCACTGGCTAGTGTAAATGTCATAAAATGTCAAAATGTCGTAAATGGTAAATAAATGTAAATGGCGACCTGGATATCTGGACTAAACCTGGAGAGGGTTCTGGGAGCTCTCAACTCTGGCTTAGGTACCAGGCTTCACTTTTGATATCTTGGCCCAAGAGTCTGTTGCTTAGAGTGACCCGCAAGCCCACATATCCAGTACATCCTGGTTGGTCAGCACTTTTTGTAGGACTGGTTCTAATCTGCATTTACTCACATATTTTTTACTCTAGTATGTTATTACTTTACTGTGCAAGTTAAGGACTTGGCCTGCCAGTATTTTACATGCATATAGTGATATGGTACTTTTCTCATCCCCAGTTTAGAGTACATTTTGAGAACTTTGAGATGGTCTCAATAATTTAGGTACTTTTATCATGTCAATGCGTGCCATATATATTCTTTGTATTCTCTCTACTTCAGAAATATCTCGTTCTCTGAAAGGGAAAGCGAGTACTGAGCAGTACTCAACAGTACCAGTGATTTAAATAGTATTAGCATTGCTGAGGGGTCCCTGGATTTGAACATTCTCATAATCCATTCAGTCATTTTCCTGGCCTCCGCTATATTTGCTCGGTTATGTTCACTAAATGTCAGGTCGTCGGATATTATAATTCCCAGATCTTTTACATGTTGTTTTTATTCTATGAGTAAGTCTGATTCTGTCCTGTACCGTGTGTTTTGTTTAAGTTCCTCATATCCACTATACCTTAGGAGCTGGAACTTGGTTTGTGAAGTTCAGTGTTTTCCATAAAGCAGGAGATTTGATTCCTAATCACTTTTTCAAAAGCTTGTATTGTGTGTGATGTTAGTGCAACTAGTCTGTAGTGCTTTGCTCCCTCCACTGTGAAGGGGAGCAATATTGCAATATCTGCTGATTTAAGTGCTTCTGGTAATCCCAGTACCAAGCTTTTCTCCGCACTACCCTCAGCGCTCATGCTACTGACCCTTCTTCCCTTCCAGGTTCATTGCTTGGAGATTGTGGTCTTTACATCTACTCCAAAATGGGCTTGGAAGCCTGGGGAAAAGACCTGGCAGCCCGTCCTCCAAACAAAGACCCAAAGTCCATTCCATGCACCTGCCTAACCCCCTGTTTATGAATAAAAAAAGGTTTACACATGACTCACAACTGATGACTTTTGAACACTTTCGGAACAAGTGCTTTGTTGATGACTTTTGTTCGAACTACAACGCTGTAAATGCTTCACCCACGTACTCCAAATAATTGTTAGCAGAATCTAAACACCTAACCTAACCAATATCCAAATATGCACAATATGCTAATATATAATAATAATATTAATTTATATTTGAGAAAAGTTCTGTTTTGAATGAACATACTGTAATGTTAAAACTGATAAAGTGCGTCTTTGGGGTCGACCGCTGGATAGAATGGACTTGGTCCAAGGACAGGTTTGACCTGGAGCTCTTCCCCACCCCCTCATCCCCCATCCCTACTGCCATTAGGCATGGGTAGTGCTAACGAGCTTTCACTAGTTTTGAATGATTCTGTCATTTGTTTACATTATTTGGGGGAGTTCATTTGGCAGTCTCGACTCTTCTGTTGTTTACAAATCAGTGATGGTCTGTGTCGTTTTGCTGACTTTCTGGATGCTTTCCCGGTGAGGGGAAGCACCCAGTGAAGTGACGGATCATCACCTGCTCTCTGGGCTACTTTTTGGGGTCAAGTTCTGAGTGTGGCCTCCTGTAGGCCAAATAGTCATGGCTGTTGTGACCTAGTAGTTAGGAGCCACTTCAGTGAGATAGCTTCAGGAGCCAACAGGCCTAATCCAGAAATGAGCATTTCAATACTGTACAGTACTTTCAACGCTGGCCTTTTCAGTAGGTGCACCTATAAATCACATAAATATATTTAGGTTACTCGACAGTAAGCAGTGTAGAACAAAAATTTATTTGAAGGCAAAATTAATGTTTGTATTTGCAATATTTTATATATTTATTATGCAAAGTTAAATCTGGAAGAGATTATTATAATTTTTGTTGTTTTTCCAGCAAGCAAAATTGTTAAAGTTGAACCAAGTGGGAACAACGAGAGTTTGGAGAGCAAGGTGGAGCATGTGTGGCGAGCCCTGGCCTTCTATAAAGATGTGGTGGACAAGAGCATCACAGACATGTTGCCTGGGTCGGCAACAGTGGTGCTGGAGATGGTCGTTGCACTTAACCTGGCATTAAAACCCGCCTTCTCTAACCAAAACAGGTAAACTGCTTCTGTTATGAAAGTATATGTGGACAGAACACAAATTGCCATAGTACTGTTTATTATGGTTTTCCATTGTTATATTACTAGACCACACTCCCGTATGCTGTGTAGTGCATCCATGTTTTAATACAAATAATCATATTTATTTGGCCTATTTCTTTTTCACATAATGGTTTTTCTGTTTTGAATAGCATACTTGACTTGGATAAACCCTGTATCATCTGATGTTTTTCTTACCTCTTGACAAAAAGTTTTTGGTTCTAGTTCTGCAGTAGCATCAGTGCTGGCCAGCGTGCACCAGAGTGTAGCGGAGCTGGTGCGGTGGAGTGACCAGTTGCTCCTGCACGAGGATGATGCCCACAATACCCACACTGCCCACCAAGTTGTTCAGGCAGTCAGGGAAGCCGTCCAGGTCTGTATATTGATACCAATTTATTTTTTTGTACAGAATGTGTGTTTTAATATTTTTGCTCTCCGGGAACGCCCCTGGCGTTAGATATTTTTCTCTTGAGTCTGAGCCGGGAACTCGTGCTTGCGTCCGATAAAAAAATATTTGTATAAAATTCATTTTTTATCCGATTGACTTCGGGATAGTTTCAAAATGAGCGCCATTAAATTCCCGTTCTCCTTAATAGGCCACATGGCAGCGTGAGCCATGGGCCCATGCGGTCGACCACTCAACTTATTGTTTTGTTTCAACAGCAAGTGACCGGAGTGCCCTCTCCTCGCATCCAATACTTGTGCACATATCACCATTTATATCAGTTCCTGTGTGTTTTCAACCCATTATATACATTACACGATGGATCCTGGTCAAGGGCCAAGCAGTTCTACGCTTAAAGGAGTGAAGAATTCCTCAAAAAAGGATAAGATAAGTATGCTTTACAAGAAATACAGTCGAGTGAAGCTTACACCTACAAAGATTCCGGGGTTAGTTGAAGCGTTTTCTGATATTGAGTTGGATGTTGAATATGAGGAAGAATTGAGTGATTTCAGTAGTGACAATTTAGAGTCAGAAACAGGAGATTATGATGTTTCTACAAGTGAGGATAGTGGGGAGGACAGTGAGCCACTTGCGCCGCCGCCTCCTACTCGAAAGAGTACACATCCTGGATGTACTCCACAAACAGATCCTGGTAATACCTGGTGTAGTGACAACACTCCACCACTTGTTGATGATTTCACTGGAACACCAGGCCTAACTATTCCGACACTCATCACTCTATTACAATTTATTCAATTATTTCTTACTCGAACGTTGATTGAATTTTTCACCTATGAAACGAACCTGTATGTCACACAAGTATTGCAGCATGCTTCCGCGAGTGTCATGAGTATGTGGGTGCCAGTCATGGTCAAGGAAATGGCCAGATATTTAGGTCTGTGCATGGTGATGGGCATTTCCAAGCTCCCAAGCATGAGAATGTACTGGCAACCAACCAGTCTCTGGCATGCACGTTTCTTCAACACTTTTATGACATCTAAACGGTTTCAGCATATTTCACAGTTTTTCAGTACGTATAATAACAATGCCATTCCCCTGAACAGTAAAGACAGGTTGGTAAAGGTTCGAACAGTAAAGACAGGTTGGTAAAAGTTCGAACAGTGATGGAATATCTTACAACGAGATTTGCAAAATTCTACGTTCCAAAGAAAGAATTGAGTCTGGACGAAGGCATGATGGCATGGCGTGGCCTTCTATCTTTCAAGGTCTATAATTCCAACAAACCTGAAAAATATGGAGTCAAACTGTACATTCTTGCTGAATCAACATCTGACTACATACTGTATATGACTTTGAAGTATGTTGTGGAATTGGGAAAACAACAATTAAGACAGTCATGGGCTTGATTGAGGCCCTAAAGCACAAGGGTTATCATCCTTGGATAACCTTTACATGGATAACTACTATAACTCGGTCAACCTTACAGAGATGTTACGTGAATGTGGGGTTCACACATGTGGAATCCTAAGATTGCAACTGAAGGCAAAGGGAAAACTTGCATTGGATACCATGTTATTCTGCCACAAAGATGACACATTTATAATACTCTGGAAAGAAAAGCGAGTGGTCTCACTCATTACAAACTTGCACAATGCAGACACCCAGCAAGTTCAAGGAAGGAAGAGAATTCGTAAACGTGACGGATCATCTTCAGTAGAACTTGTAACAGTGAACAAACCAGCAGCAATTTGTGACTATAATCGCTACATGAACGGTGTTGATCACTTCGACCAAATGATCAAATATTACCAGTTCACACCAAAAAAGTCACAAGTGGACCAAGAAAATTACCTTCTATTTTCTGCAAATGGCTCTACATAATTCATTTGTTTTGTATAAGCGCTACACCAGTGATCGCAAGAAACTTACCTTGCTCCATTTTCAAGAGGTGGCAATGTGGTCCCTATTGAAGTGGGATGCTGTGGAGTGGCCTCTCACAACTGCTCCTGCCATAAGTGATGGCGCAAGTACTTCTGATGCGGCCAATCTGTTAACACCAGGACCTTCTGGTCTGAGGCTGCCTTTATTCCCTTCAACACCTCACGGCGAAGGCTCCTCATCTGACTCTGAACACGAGACGTGTGTAACAGAACACTTAGACGAGACGGGTGTGACAGAACACTCTGACACAAGTCGTCCTCCTCCTAAGAAAAACCTGCGTATTGTTGATTCACCAGAGCGTCTCAACAAGAACCTGACACATGCCATCGTTCCTCTGAAAAACATCTAAAGTGTCGTGTTTGTTACAAGTCAGGAATAAGGAGGGACACAAAGCTAAAGTGTGAAACGTGTGGAGTTGCACTGTGTGCTGCACCCTGTTACACAAGATACCACTGGAAGAGGGTATTTTGGGTGGAAAAGAAGTAACCACTCGCAACACATTCACTCCACCTACAAAACATCTGTTGGGCAACTTCAGGAACCTTTTCCTGAAGCAGGTGGAGTGGATCAAAGAATGCTCAACTTATTGTTCCACAAAAATCATTCTGTAGGTAAGTACAGACATTTTGTTCAAGTATTTTATAAATAAGATATTACAGTTTATACTTTGTTGTTGGTATTTACATAGGTTTCCTTCAATAAGGGCTTATATCCATATTTCCATTTAGAGCATTTTATTGCGAATAATTTGATACCACAATGAACGATGTAGCACAAAAACTTCTGTTAGCAAACTGAAAAGTTCTGTATGTGTTTTTCGGGTGTACCAGGTGTGGCTGTGGCTATACTCTAACTGGTTACGCTTAGGCGACTTTCGGCGTAGTTGCGGGTGGGGCATGCCCATGATTTGGACTTTATAAGCATATGTGCGTGTAGGAAATTTTATTGCGATCAAAGTTAAACAAAAATGAATGGTGTAGAACAAGTCTGAGCTTGACAAACCTGAAAAGAGTAGAAACATTTCATTGCTGTTTGGCACTCACGGCTACCGATCGACATAGTTTTTTATTTGGTGCCGGTCTCACACCTGCTTTTGTGACATTTTATACATATGTTCTTCTAGAACATTCTATTGTGAACACATTGATACCAAAATGAAACATGTACACCGAAAATTAAGGTCAGAACACTGAAAAGAGTATTCACTTTTCAGTACGGGTGTAGCCGATGTACTGTTGGGCCGGCGGTAACAGGTAACACTTCGGTGACTTTCCACGTTGTTGCAGGGGGGGAGGGGCACCAATGATTTAGACTTTATATGCCTATGTCCGTGTAGGGAATTTTATTGCGGTCACAGTAATACCAAAATGAACGATGTAGGACAAGTGTGGAGTTTACAAACCTGAAAACAGTAGAAACAGTTCATCGCTGTTTGGTGCTCACGGCATCCGAATGAGATGGTTTTTTATTTGGTGCCAGTCTCACGCCTGCTTTTGGGACATTTTATACATATGTTTTTCTAGAACATTCTGTTGCGAACACATTGATACCAAAATGAAACATGTACATTGAAAATTAAGGTCAGAACTGTGAAAAGAGTATACACTTTTCAGTGTTGCCGCTTGGTCGCCCAAAACGCCAGGAGCACAAGGCAATGTTTTTTTGCTCAACCGCCGGGAGCGCGAAAGTGTTATATTAAATTAATATTCAACTGCTATACCTGTCGATGATCCTGAGGATCGTCGTCTCCACGGCCCGGTCTCTGGTCAGGGCTCCTGGTTGGTGGTCTGGTTAACCAGGCTGTTGTACATCAGGCTACTCACAGCCACTTCGAAGTCACAGCCTGGTTGATCAGGTATCTTTTGAAGGTGTTTATAACTTCTATTTTGAACACTGCGTGAGGTCGGCCAGTTATGCTCTTTATTTGTAGATGGAGAGTGTTGAAAAGTCTTGTGCCTTTGATATTGATCAAGTCATATCTCACTGTATCTATTGCACGCTGAGTACAGTATCCAGTACAGTTGATTTCCGCTTTTCTATGATGGGGTTTAGTGTAAAGTTGCTGGTATCTGGTGTTCAAACTTGATTTAAAAGTAAAAATAATTCCTGAATGGAAACACTGATGGTATTTATCGCAAGATGAAATCTGTATGTGTTGATGCTGTACATATTCAGATTTTAACCAAAATATTTAGGTACAGTACCTGAATATAAAGTGCCTCGCCAAATGTGTGGTCGCATTACTGCTAGGACGTATGTGTCTAGATGGCCAGACCCATTTATAAGGGAATTTTCTCAGTACACGTACCTGTATAATCATATATGTTATGTTCTATATTATGTCCTCCTTCATTTCAGTAAATATGGGGTAAAACTATAATAACCTACTGTATCTGATTCCAAGGATACTGTATCTGTATCAAGGATGCTCGGATTTTATTATTACTTGTAAAATACAGCACAGCATTTGAGTCTGCTGATTACTGTGCACAAGGACACACTACTGTGCAACATTTATGTTTTTATAATGGAATTAAAATGAATTAAATTTGTTGTTGTTCTTGACAGGCACTGGTTGACCTTGCTGCTGATAAGGAAAATGTGCACATATCAGACTCAAGTAATACTCCGTCCACCATTGATAACAACAATTCGATAGACAAATCTCCAGCATATTACAGGTAATAGTTTTTCCTATTCGTGGTTTGATTAGTGTTAGCTTTAGCATCAAATTCACCTTAGCTTATCTCATGAAATTATTTAACATGTATGGTCCTTCAATGTTGTGCTCACCGCAGGTTTTATATTTACTTGTACAGTTATATGTATGTTTCTGGGGGGAGCCCCTTCGGCTCCCCGGAGCTATCCAGGCTGATACGTATATCCGTAAACTTTGGCATCAGTCAGTGTGGATGGAGTTCTAAGCCTACCGGGGACCACGAGCCAGAACCTGGCCCACCCTCGAAGAGGCACAAGGAGCAATGGCCTATAGAAATGCACATGTGATTTGGAGCATTCTATATCTGCCATCAACCTGGGACAGGCACCCAGAAAGGAAAGCGCCTCAAAACAAACTCCTATTCTGGTTAAAATGACAAAAATAGCCAAACGAGTGGACAGAATTCCCCAAATGAAAACGAGCAATCAAGTATGACGTCACACGAGCCGCATTGCTTGTCTCTACAGCTCCCCCTTCCCAGAGAGGGGGAACGGGAAGCCCCAGACCCACCGCACCGGTGATCCAACCACTAGATCTTAGGCTGATGTGATTGTAACACAGAATGGGTGGACGACGCCGACTCGTTCAATTGACTCTGCCAGATGTTCGGGTGCCCAGAGGTGGACCTCTTCACATCGGCGTGGTCGAGGCGTCTTCCGGTATACATGGCACCCTTCCCTAACTGTGAGGCCATCGGGGTCTATGTTTTTCAACAGGACTGGTTGAGGTGGGGGTGCTTGTACCTGTTTTCCCCGGATCAACTATTGCTCCAGGTCTTGGCTCGTCTGGAGACTTACCAGGGAAGAGTAATCCTTTTGCCCCCTTGGTGGCCAGCCCAGCCTTGATTTCAGGCACTGCTTGCTCGGTGTCTGAAACCGGATGTTTTCCCGCGGCTCCGTCTCTTTCAGCAGATCAGCCTGGTTTGTTACGAGACTGGTTCAGTCTTCTCCTCGAGTCTTTGACTCGAGTGTATCACCATCTCTATGATGATCAGGTGGCTTCTTTGATGGTGTTCCCCTGTGGGCTTTGTCTCGGCGGCAGTGTGAAGTTTCCTAGAGGTCCTTCCGGTTCTTTTTGTCTCTGTCGTTATATTTCGCTTTTGGTTAAGGTTGTTTTGTCCTGTCTCGTGACTGTTTTAGGACCGTCATCTGATGCCGAATACTGTCGCCTCATATTGTGTGGTGCTGGCGGAGCCGCTGCAGCTTGCTTTCAGAATAAATGTTACTTCTGCATCTTTTCACAAGCTGTCTTGGGCGTTGTTTCACCTCCGGCCTGCTCATGCGCTGCCTGAGCTGTCCTGATCCTTGGACAGGGTGCTCTCATATTTGTCTTCTCATTTTGTTGTGGCCCCTTCCGTTCAGGATTGTTTTTCTAAGGCTCTTTTCTTGTTGGCATTGGCCCCTGAGGTTCGGGTTGGAGAGCTTCATGCTCTCCTTCAGCGCAGGGGTTTTTCCTCTTTTGGTCGTGGTGATTGGTTTATTCGTTTGCAGCCGTCTTCTTCTTTTCTGGTGAAGAATGAGACTGCTGCTTTCCAGAGGGGGCCCTTGGGTTGTTGATGCTTGGTTGGTCAGGCCGGGGGTTCTTCATGTGTTGTGTCCGGTTGCGGCGCTCCACCGATATTTACGCACCATGGCCTCAGTGGCTGGGGACGCACTTTGGGTTGATCTGGTTTCCTTTCTTCCCTGTTCCCGGGAACAGGGAACAGGGAACAGGTCTCTCAGGTTGTCCGCAGGGTTATTTGGTCCAGCCAGCCTGCGGTCTATCCCCGTGCCCATGACATTCGTAAGTTTGCTGCGCTTGCTGCTGTCTTCGGTAACATGTCTTGAGTTGATATTCGGGCACAGGGTTTTTGAAGGTCGAACAGGGTCCTGGCTGCACTCTACCTAGTAAATGTTCCTGGGCCTAGTTAGGCCTCTGTCGCTTTGGGCCAGCGGTTGCAGCCAATTGTCTGGATTTCGAGTTGAGATGCGAGCACCGACTGCCTCCCGGGTAAGTTCCTCTAGTTTTTGTCTTTGATGAAGTAGCTCCAGGAAGCCGAAGGGGTTACCCCCAGAAAACCAGCATTGAATGTAACGAAACTCCATTTTCTGGGTGAGTCCCGGAGGCTCCCCAACAACCTCCCCCCTCCCCCTTTCTCCTCCCCCCTTCCCCCCATTCGGCAGTTTTCAGGTTTTTTGACATCCAGCCTAAGAACTAGTGGTTGGATCACTGGTGCGGTGGATCTGGGACTTCCCCTTCCCTCTCCTGGCGAGGGGGGAGCTGCGCAGACATGCGGCGCGGCTCGTGTGACGGCATGCTCGATTGCTTGTTTTCATTTGGGGAGTTCTGTCCACTCGTTTGGCTATTTTCATCGTTTTAACCAGAATAGGGGTTTGTTTTGAGGCGCTTACCTTTCTGGGTGCCTGTCACGGTCAACGGCAGATATAGAATGCTCCAAATCACATGTGCATTTGTAGAGGCTATTGCTCCTCGTGCCTCTCTGAGAAGGCCAGGTTCTGGCTCGAGGTCCACGGTAGGCCTAGAACTCTATCCACACTGACTGATGCCAAAGTCTAGGGATATACATATCAGCCTGGATAGCTCCTGGGAGCCTCCGGGGAGCCTCCGGGACTCATCCAATAAATGGCGTTTCATTACATTACCACAGTGGATAGATATTCCCTATTTTCAGAGTAAATACAAAGTAAATAATTACTGTTTTTACAAAGTTATTTATTTTTTCAATATGGTTCTTTTCAGCAATAGACACTCAGATATTTCAAGCCATCGAAACTCACTACCTGAAATTAAGGCAGAATCCCCTGTAGAAAAAAATGGAAGCTTCCTCCTACCATGTGATACATCAATGAAGCTCAGCCACTCTCGAAGTTCTGATTCTATACTTACTGGTTCAGAGGTGGAGTCTCCACCACCCAAACCTCCTTTGCCATTTGGGTGAGAAATACTGTTTTTAGATTGATTTATTATGAATGTGTAATGAGGCAGGTACAAAGATAACAGCATATATTTTATATCTTCATCAATAACCTTACCTTAATATAATTTATTAACCCTAAAACCCCCAAATACAACAGAAATACTTTACCACCTCGATCTTATGCTACCTCTGACTCCACATAGGCAGGAAACAAGATTTACAGCAACTAGTACAGCAAACTAGTGGTAAAGTCTTTGATTCCTTAAGGGACAAATTACTTAACCTAAATGGGTATAATTACATCAGACACGTGTTCAAGGGTCAGTAACTTACATAGAACCCCAGGATCTAACCAGGAAGCACAGACAAAATTACACTTAGAACTGAAGAGTGCCACATGGTAAGGGTACTTAACTTTGTTATTAGATTCAGAAGTAGAGGAATAGAATAAGAGCACATCTGTTTGTCTGCTTGTTTGTCTATATGCAGTTGGAGACCAGACGCTAGCTGGTCTCCAACCAGTTAGGGCTAGCCTCATCCAACTTTGCAGGGTGAATGGTCTGGGGATGGGATAGACGTAGACTTGTTGGGGTCGATCCTGTTATTCCCATTAAGAAAGGCATAATAGTGACCCTCCCCATGTAATCGGTGAAAGGTGACTGGCCAAGTCCCTAGATTTCTTGGTACATAAATACAATACATGGAAATGACTGTTGAAGAATAGAGGCGAGAGAGGAAGAGGGGAGGGAAAAGGTAGGAAGAGGTGGTGAAGGGGGAAAGAAGGGAGAACATGGCAGAAATAGGAGACAAGAAGAGAAGGGGTGGTGGAGCAAAAGTCATTGGTCTGATTTTTTTTAGAACACACAGGGTACAAAAAACAAACTACCATTACAAGGAATTGACCACCATTATATCCATTTTCTAATTACACCTATGACTTGTTTCATACTAATTCTATTTAGTAACTATCATTTGTCAAAATAACTCTTCTTAACAATACTTTGCCATTATACTAATTACCACATGCATCATGCTGTTTAATTTCCATTTTTCATTTCCAAAGTTCATTTCTGTCTCTAATGATGTTTGTGTTTGTTAAATTCCTTTGTTCTCTGCTACCCACCATTCTCACTTTGCTTCCCTATGAGTCATTTTATGACTTTCTGTTCCCACACTGCATTGGTTGCTGAAGCCTCCATCTTAGTAGCTTTCATTCTTCTAAGGCTTGGGGATTAGAACTACTCCCAGGACCCCATCCAGGTACAATATATTTATAAGCTGTCTCTGAGGACAGACTAGGGTCCAAAATTGCACTCAAAGAAAACCTTTCTATTTGATGTGGTTTTCTAGCATTTTTTTGAGATCAGTATACTTACCTATCGGTGACTATGGGAAAGTGAGGTCTAGCTCTTTATGCCCCATCTACTAGCCTTGTTGTACCCATTGCATTAAAGCTTCACTATTTTAATACTCAATATCTTTTCCGAACCTTTCCTTAAAGTTGTGAATGGAGGTGTCTTCCACAACTTGTTCCCTCATTGTATTCTACTTGTTGATCACCCATACAGAGTATGAGTATTTCCATACATTTTTTTTATTCATTTGTGATTCCAGCTTCCACTTGTGTCCTCTTGTTCTACTTTCTCTCAACTTAAAGAGGCTGTCCTTGGCCACCCTGTCTGTTTTCCTCAGTATCTTGTACATTGCTATTGTATTTCCTCTTTCTTCTGTCCTCCAAGGTTGTGAGATCCAGTTCCTTCAGCCTATCCTCATAACTTAATCCTCTAATCTCTGGCACTAATCTAGTTGCAAGCCTCTAGACTTTTTCAATTTTAGTTGTATGTTTCACAAGGTATGGATTCCAAGCAGGCGCTGCATATTCCAGTTCTGGTCTAACAAAAGCGGTTAGAGTGCCTTGAATGCATCCTGATTTAGGTTTCTAAAGGAAAGGATGAGATCAATGATTCTAGCATATATCATCTCTATATTTATGTTCTTTTTCCCTTGAGAAGGAAGTTGAAACATTTGCCTTTCAAGTGAAGAAAACATAAATATATGGAAGATTTCTGTTAGAATCATTGATCTCATCCTTTGTCATAATCAGTAACATGTCAACAACAAAAACAGTTACCAAAATATATATACCGTAAACAGTATATAAAAAATACACACACACACACACACTCATGTGCACACCATTTCCTAATTTTGTATAAATCATTGGGGATAATGCCAGATTTTATATGAGCATATATTGAGGCTGCATCACTAAATATATGTCTCACATACTAAAAAAATTTTTTATTGGCAGACGAAGTGATGTTGCACCTCCACTACCTCCTAAACAAAAAACTCCAAAAGGAAGCTCTCATGAAAATTATGCTTTAAACCCAATATACCTAACTTCACCTTTGAACCGAAGTCCTAGAGAAAGTTCTTCAGACTGGCCTAACAATAGCTCATCATCACTATCTGCTTCTCTGGAGAGGGGATCTGGTACATCTCATTCCTCAGACCAAGTTTCTCCAGCATCAAGTCTGGACTCTGTGAGTCAACCACACGACGACCCTCCAACTTCACGTACAAGTTTAAATTCGTGTAGTTCTCTACACGATCGATTTGATCTTGACTTTGAGAGTGCACTGCACAAAAATTTTAGGATTAATGGTGATAATACTGTGACGTTCAATCCACACCTCACTGATTTTGGCGCCGATTCTTTGTCATCAATCAGAAGCATCTCCAGTTCTGGTTGCAGCAGCAGGTAAGTGTCCTTTCACTGTAGGCTTGAAAAATTTCTCAGGGTTAATGTTGACTACAGAATATATTGTGTACATTTGTTTATCAATACAGTATTCCTAATATAAAATAATACTATATATACCATCTATATATATTAATGGATGAAATTTGTAAATTTGCCATAAATTATAATTACTTTTTCATGAAACCTTTTAAAAAAGTATTCTATTAGTCATTTTTCCATTAATATGTACTTTACTCTAGATCATTTCATGCTTTGGCTATAACTCTTTGGCATTTAGTAAGATGCTAAGATTATGGCTGTAGCCTCTTTCCATCTAGTAGCACATTCAGATTATCACTACAATGCCATGTTACTCAGTAACATACCAAGCTGTAATTAGATTTTTATTGAAGATGGTGTTTTGCCTCTAAGGACTTTTTAAAATCTGATGAAGCCCTTTAGACAAAATACCATCATCATGAAAGTCTACTCCAAACTTAGTGTTTCCCTACATAAATGGCATTTCTCTACATGTACAGGACCTTTTACTTTGTTCAACCAACTTGATAGTATATTCAGACTGTGACTGTAACTAACCCCTTGTCACTCAGTAACATGCTCATACCTAGCCTCAGGCCGGGCTTGTGGAGTAGACCTCCCGAAACCCTCTCTAGGTATGCTCCAGGTATACCGTTACCCCATGTCACTCAGTAACATGTTCATACTGTGGCTGTAACCCCCCTTGTCACTCAGTAACATGTTCATACTGTGACTGTAACCCCTTGTCACACGGTAACATGTTCATACTGTGACTGTAACCCCTTGTCACTCGGTAACATGTTCATAATGTGACTGTAACCCTTTGTCACTCGGTAACATGTTCACACTGTGACTGTAACCCCCTTGTCACTCGGTAACATGTTCATACTGTAACCACATACTCAGTAACGTGTTCCTCATCTCAGCTTTACATTTAAATTCTGTATTTCTAATTATTTATCTTTTTTTTCTAATGCTTCTGTGTTTCTAGTTTTTATTTCCATGTTCCTATTCTTACTTTTCACATCTTGATTTAGATTTGTTGAAACAACTGTTACTTTCTGTTTACATTCTCTCTTTCATTGGTGAAAATGTAGTACTGTGTTCCTTTACTATGATCGATAAACTTAAATGACGATATTTCAGTATGATTTTTACCAAATTAAAGTTGTCTTCAGCACTTGAAAGGGAAAAATGGTTGTAGAGAACTGTACCTGCAATACTGTGGTTTGAATACACGATAAAAGCAAGCAGCTAAGTGGATAGTGAGATGATCTGATCTTAGATCTGCTGTGTAATGATTAATGATAAAGAAGGACTTAAAAATAGTTAAAACGTAACATTTCTATTCCAGTTTAAGTCAGTCTTACACACGTAAGAGTACCAGTGAGAGTGTGTCTATGAAGCAATCTCATACGGAGACATATTTCTCATCTTCATCTCAGGTGAGTTCAGCATGGAATCTCTTAAGTTGCTATGATTTAGCTCTGCATGACATAAAGCTGTCATTATAAAAGCACGAGAAATTATGTTGTGAATTGATGTACAGCACATGGTTTGATTTATTGTAGAGTGCATCTTGATTCTTTATTCATTGTTGGTTTGTTTCAATATGTGTATGATTTTAAAATTATTTTAATAATGAACTTATGCCTATAATATATATATTATGCTGTACTGTACCATGAATGATTTCAGTGTGTCATTGCCTCACAAATTAAGGGCAAAGCGTAATATATGCGCGTGTATCTTTGCAAATAGAATTGAAAGAAACAGGTGCCTGCATGATTTTAGGTGCAGTACAGTATTTTCCTTGCTATTTTATGTCTACTGTACTACATAGTTTTTATTATTGGACTCACTTTTATTAAACTTGTGTTTATTCACTGATGGCACCATATATACATACATGTACTTATACAGTACACACATTTAAAATATACTGTTAGTTTCCTTGGTCTCACTTAGCCGTGAGACCAAGGAAAGTAAGGCTTAGTGAGACCACTCACTAATTGACAGGGAGCCGGTCGGCCGAGCGGACAGCACACTGGACTTGTGATCCCGTGGTCCCGGGTTCGATCCCGGGCGCCGGCGAGAAACAATGGGCAGAGTTTCTTTCACCATATGCCCCTGTTACCTAGCAGTAAAATAGGTACCTGGGTGTTAGTCAGCTGTCACGGGCTGCTTCCTGAGGGTGGAGGCCTGGTCGAGGACCGGGCCGCAGGGACACTAAAGCCCCAAAATCATCTCAAGATAACCTCAAGATCTCAAGATAGCCTCATTAGTTGATTACTGTTTACATTTGTTTGAAAGAGGGAGAAAAATACATGTAAGTTCTGAGCTCATTCTTTATCCTACACTTTAAAATATGTGGCATTTACTGATACGATAATGTATTATAGTAAATATGATACATTTTCTTTTTAATGCTGAAAAGTAACACTCACACAAGAGCATTTAAGAAGCACTGATACTAAACCTTGGGTCGTCTAGCTACAATAATAACTAGCTTAAAATTATTTCTGCTTAAAATCCTTGCAATCTTTGGCAATTTTGGCAAAATCCTTGCAATCGCCATCAATCTGTGGTGCAGCTGACCCCTGGCCATCTTGTTTGTTGCCCTAAGTATATTGTACCCCTGCGATTATATCTCCTCTCATCCTTCTCTCTTCTGGGGCTGCTAAGCTGAGTTCCCTTAACTTTTCTTGAAAGCATAGTTCTTACATTTCACAAGCTTTAAAAATGACATGGACTCTGTATGGACTCATGGACTCCTCTGAAGGAGATCCTTTTTTGGTCAGAACAAATGTTTCTTTTTCTTAACAATATTTTACTCAGTTCAGTGTTGGATGAGGACTCCAAAAACCACTCACATTAAATTGGAATAATACTAAAAGATCAGCACTGAGAAACCAAAGTATCACCTTGTTGGACCAAGCTCTCACAAGTCAAGCCTGGCCTCGGGCTGGGCTTGGGGATTAGAAGAACTCCCAGAACCCTAGCAAACAGGTATCAATGTCACTACTTAGCTTGCATGTTACCATCTGTCTACCATCGAAACTTCTGTACTAAAAACTATAGAACTGGATGTTATGCTGCCTTTATCAGAATGTGGAAGGTATCTATCTGGTATCCACAAATTCACTTTTTTCCTGATGATAATCTTGAGGTACTCTGAGAATAGTGGCATCCACTGTATTTGTGGCACTGTATGAAGAAATAGTACCAAATAACCTAATTAGCCTAATATGACCAAACCTAACCCCATACTGTGCATCTTGAGGTATTCTTGAGATTATTTCAGGGCTTAACGTCCCCGCGGCCGCGGTCCTCAACCAGGCCTTCTTTTTGTTACATTCCCCCCAGGAAGTAGCCCGTAGCAGCTGTCTAACTCCGAGGTACCTATTTACTGCTAGGTAACAGGGGCATCAGGGTGAAACAAACATTTTGCCTATTTGTCTCCGCCTCCACCTTGGGATTCCGTAGTCCCGGAACCTCAGGACTACGAATCCCAAGCGCTGTCCACTCAGCTGTCAGGCGCCTCCATGCATTACCATGGAAGCACCACAAAAGCACTTGAATATGTTTTAGGTGCCATGTGTAATTTATTACTGTAACTCTTGTGCATGCATGCACAGTGAGACAACCATCATGGAAATAGTTGCAGTGATATGCACATCCAAACACACGCGTGCACACACGCGCGCACACGCGTGCACACACGCGCGCACACGCGTGCACACGCGCGCGCGCACACGCGCGCACACGCGTGCACACACACGCGCGCACACACACACACACACACACACACACACACACACACACACACACACACACACACACACACACACACACACACGTTATATGACAAAGAGTGCTGGGAAGACGGGACACCACGAGCGTAGCTCTCATCCTGTAACTACACTTAGGTAATTACACACACACACACACACACACATCACACATCACACATCACACATATACTGTACTGTATTATTTGTTCATTTGCTTCATTAATGTTTTATTCACTTCATTTTTTCTGGTGCATCTTGTTTGTGTATCTGACTTGCATGACCAACCCGACAGGTTAGCAGTAAAGTGCGGTGTAGTACCCAGCGTTTAGTTGCGTACTCCGCAACTCGCTCATCCACATCATCCTCTGTTTCATCCTCATCATCCTCTTCCTGTGCCAGTGAGGTGGGTATACTTAATATTTATAATGTTTTCATGGTTTGTTATTTATCACTGTGTGGTAAAAGGTAAATGGCATCATTCTAGAGAATAGGTCTTTTTCACTTATTGTTAGTACTGTATAATATTTCAAAGTTTTCTTAATATGAAGCTTAGTGCAAGCTACAGATGTATCAACATACAAAACAGCAATATACTCATCTAATATTTAATTTAATGTCACTTTCTTCCTTTTGACATGTGGTTCATGTACAGTATTTTCTTTGTGTCTTCTTTACCGTGTTTCCTCTAGAAACACTCCATCTCTTGGGCAGCCCCCTCAGTGGCTCCCCAGAGTTTGTGTTGGTACTTCAGAGCCAAATCTAACACACCAGGCATCTAGGACCATCTCACAGCCTACTGAGAACAAGTATCAAATTGCTGTGCCCTTAAAGACTTGGGAAGTGTGAGGGAGTCATAATACTCCACACACTTTACAAAACAAGCTATAATTACCAAAAAGGAATCCTGAAAACTCAAAACATCTACAAAGAAATACTTGGTACAAATATTCTAAAATTCTAAACTAGCACAAATAACAAAAATACCACCTTAGTGCTTCCCCTTCCCAGCACTAGATGGCAGTGCTAATCAACCAAGGGTCCAGTGAAGCCATTGCAATTACACTCACTTGGTGATCCTACCAGCACAGTGCATGACCTATGTATTTTGTTTAGCTAGTTGACAGATTTTTCTGCCTTTCTTGGGGGGGAGCCCCTTCGGCTTCCCGAAGCTATCCAGGCTGATATGTACATCATTAGACTTTGGCATCGGTCAGTGTGAATGGAGTTCTAGGCCTACCGGGGACCACGGCCAGAACCTGGCCCCCCTCAGAGAGGCATGAGGAGCAATAGCCTATAGAAATGCACATGTGATTTGGAGCATTCTGTATCTGCCGTTGACCGGGACAGGCATCCAGAAAGGTAAGCGCCTCAAAACAAACCCCTATTCTGGTTAAAACGAATAAAATAGACAAACTAGTGGACAGAACTTCCCAAATGAAAACAAGCAAACGAGCATGACGTCACACGAGCTGCGCCGAATGTCTGCGAAGCTTACCCCTGGTAGAGTGGAAGTGAGTAGTATGTGAACAAGATGTGGTCAACCTGCCCCTCCCCCCAACCAGTATACAGACTGACACCATCAAGGACACCATGGAGCCTGTTTGGACACCTTCTAATTCAATATATATATATTTTTTTTTTTTTTTTTTTTTTTTTGAGATATATACAAGAGTTGTTACATTCTTGTACAGCCACTAGTACGCGTAGCGTTTCGGGCAGGTCCCTGGAATACGGTCCCTGGAATACTAATAGGTTAGTTAACACCTCAGAGCCCATTTGTGTACTGGGATTCCGATCCAGAGCTAAATTTAAACTTTCTACCTCTTCAAACTCGCTTTGTGCGAGTTTGAGGGTTGCTCTGTCCCCTTGTCTCAAAACGACGCTCATAGTTTTTGCCTCCGTCATGCTGCCTGTTGGGTCGGTGACACCTTCGACCCGGAGTCCTGCGAGCATTGTTGCTTGTTTGTGACTCAGTTCACCCAATCTACTGATGACATCATTTGGGTGCAGGCGGCTCGGGCATTGCAGACTAGGTTTAGGTTGCTGCAATGTGCTAGGTTGGTTGCTTCCTCGGATGCCCCGAGGCTGCCCCGCTTTGCTTATAGGGACCCAGACTTAGGGGTGTTAGTAGCGTCGGCGTTGGTTCAGTCCGCACCCTATCATTCTTTCCCTGCTGTGGTTCATTCTGTTCCCCCTTCCACTGCTTCTGGTTCCTAAGCATCTGAGGGCTTTGGGGTCAGGGCAGGGTTTAAAGGTTTTTGAGACTCAGTTCTGGGGGTTGCCCCTTCTGGGATGGCGATGGAGGCATTTGAGTCGGCTCCTCCAGCTGTAGCATCGGGGTCTGACCAGTGGGCCTCCTCTCTTCCTGCTTTTCCGGCCGAGCAGGATTTTTCTTGTGAGGCCGGGGCTTTGGAAGATGACTCACCCCCGGGGGCCTGATGTGGAGGTTCCCTGGGTTGGGTAGAAGCTGATTTTGAGGCCCTTGGATCCCATTGGACCCCGCTCGGGTTTTCCAACCCTCAGAGCAGGGCTTACTGTTACAAGGCGTGGGGTTTTCCTTTCACCCCTCTGTGTACGAGTTTGATTTGGGCTCAGCTTATCCCTGGGCTTGGTTCTGTATCCCTGCAGGTCCTTCGGTTCCGTCTTTCCGGAGGTTTTCGGCTTCCCGTGTCTTGTCTACTGAGGTGCGGGCGGCCATTGCGGCTTGCCTCCTGCGCAACTTGAAATATGCCTCTGTACTGGATCCGTCTTCCTTCAGGTTTGGATCTTTGTCTCCATGCTGGGTCCAGTATGAAGTTCCGGAGTCGTCCTGGCTTGCGGACTGCCCGTTGTTGTCGTTGGATGCTTGGGGTGCTTTCTGTCGTACCCGCACGCTTGAGTGGCGCGAAGCATTGACTGTGGTCTAGGTTTACCTGGGGGCACTTTTGAGCACCTTAATGAGTGTCTTTTTGCTCCTGCCCTAATGCGGGATGTGGGTGCAATTCAGCTTCACGTGCAGGTTTCTTCCCTGTCGGCTGCACTTGTGGCTGAGGACTTGCGCGCTTGTGGCTTGCTGGCTTCAATCTTGCGTTTATTTTCCCTCTTGGAGTTGTCTTCGGATTGGCTTGAGGAGGATGTAGAGGCGCTTGCGGCCATTCCTGGGTCAGGTGCCGTGGTCTCAGCTGCTCGTGATTTGTCTGCCCTTTTGAAGCTGTTGCGCTGATCCTGCGGGATGTGCTTCACAGTTTTTTGCTGCGCGTCTCGCATGTCAATAGGTTGTGTTCGCTTCCTCCTTGGAATCTGCTTGGGCCCTGGCTCTTAGGTTGTTTTCGCCTTTTTGTCCCTTGCTGTTTGTGGACTTTGCGGTTGAGCAATATGTGCAGGCGGCTTCTTCCAGCTGTCGTCCGGTGTCCAAATTGTTGGTTCTCCGGGGGTCCCAGGTGGGTTCTTCCCGGAGGGGTCATGCCAGGGCTCGGGGTTCTTCTCGTCTGGGTATGCCACAAGTGCGAAATTTCGGAGCTGGCGCTGCCTTTGGAACCATCTGTGTCTGGTCGGAGCAATGTTTGCTCTGTGCGCAGGTCGGGTTCTCGTAAGGGGTGTCTGCCCTTTCGTGGTTCGCTCCATTGACGGGGCAATGCTGGGTAGGCTTGCTCTGTTCTCTCACACCCGGTCTCATGATTCGTGGGCTTTTCGGATCGTTTCCTGTGGCCTGCGGTAGCGTTGGGTGGCTCCTCCTCCTCCTCTGGATGTTTCGGGGCTGGCGGGGCAGGCCTCTTCTCCTGCGCTCTGTCGGCTCGTCTCTGAGTGGGTGCGCTTGGGTGTGGTCGAAACGACGGCATCTCTCAGGTGGGGTTTCCCGCCTGTTTTCAGTTCTGAATCGGGACTGGAATCGGGACATCCGAAAGGAATCCCCTCCTTTCGGATGACCACTCTGTCCCAGGTTCGGCTTCTGTTGGAGCTGGGTGCTTGGATGGTGTCCCCTAGACCTCAAGGACGCTTATTGGCATAGCCCAGTTCATCTGAGGTTCAGGGACTGGCTCGGTTTTGTTGTGGGGCGTCAGCGTTACTGCTTTCGTTGTCTCCCTTTCGGGTTGAACCTGGCACCTCGCGTGTTCACACGCTTTACCAGGGTCATGGTGGCCCGTCTGCATCTTTTAGGTGTTCAGGTGTTGGGTTACCTTGACAAATGGCTGGTCTGGGCTCCCAGTCGGTCCGCATGTCTGCTCGCCAGGGGTTTGGTACTTTCCCAGCTAGCCGGGTTCGGGTTCCTGGTGAACTGGCGGAAGTCCCATCTGGTCCTCTCCCAGGTTCGGACCTGGCTGGGTCTTGTGTGGGACTCTCAGACCGCTTCCTTGTCTCTCCCTCTGGAGTCTCTCTTTCGGCTGCAGTCCTACATGTGTTTGTTTCTGGGGGCTCACGGGTCACCCGGAGGTTGCTTGAGGGTTTATGTGGGAGCATGAAGTTTGTGATGGTGGTCTACTCGCCGGGTCGGGTTTGGCTTCATCGGCTGTTCTGGTTCTTTCGGGGATATCCTTTCCACCTTTCTCACGATAGCCGGGGTTTGTATCCCGGGGGCACTACATTGGCTGCTGCGTCGCCGGCTTCCTCTTTGGGGTTTTTGGTGATCAGTACATTGGCGCCTTCCCTCGTTCGATATGATCACGGACACGTCGTCTCTTGGCTGGGGCTTTGTGACCAGTGCTGGAGTTCGCAGCAGTGTGGTTTTGCTTCAGAGGGTTCAGGTCGCCCGCGGATTGACGATCCGGCTCCATTCGGACTGCTCCCCGGTGGTTCATTGCCTGAACCGAGGGGGTTCGATTCAGCCCTTGGCTCTTTGGGGCTGGTTGCTTTGGATGATTCGTCTGCTGAGTTCTCAGGGTTTGGCTCTCCTAGCGGTTCATGTCCGGGGGGTGCCCAACATTCTGGCAGACGGCCTGTCCCGGGTCATTCCCCTGTCCACGGAATGAACGGTCGATACCGACTCATTCAGTTGGCTCTGCCAGACGTTCGGGCGCCTGGAGGTGGACCGCTTCGTGTCGGCGTGGTCGAGGCATCTTCCAGTATATGTGGCGCCCTTCCCCGACTGCAAGGCCGTCGGGATCGATGCTCTCCGACAAGACTGGTCAAGGTGGGGGGTTCCTGTACCTCTTTCCCCCAGTTTAGCTGATGCTCGCTTGGAGACTTAACAAGGGAGACTAATCCTTTCTGCCTCATGGTGGCCGGCCCAGCCTTGGTTTCAGGTGCTGCTTGCTCGGTCTCCGAACTCGGAGGTTTTTCTGCGGCTCTGCCTCTTTCAACAGATCAGTCCGGTCCGTTACGAGACTGGTTTGCTCTTCTCCTTGAGTCTTAGCATTTGGTCTTTTTTACTCAAGTCTATCACCATCTGTATGGTGATCAGGTGGCTTCTTTGATGGTGTCCCACCTGCGGGCTTTGTCTCGGAGGCAGTATGAGGTTTTGTGGCAGTCCTTCCATTTCCTTCTGTCTCTTCATCACAGTACTTCACTTTCTGTTAGGGTTGTTTTTGTTCTTTCTCTCCTGGATGTTTCAGGACTGTCATCTTGTGTCAAATAGCGTCGCCTCATATTGTGCGGCGTTGGCGGAGCCGCTGCAGCTTGCTTTTGGTATTGATGTTACTTCGGCACCATTTTGCAAGCTGTCTTGAGCGTTGTTTCACCTCCGGCCTGTTCATGCACCGCCCGAGCCGTCCTAATCTTTGGACATTGTACTCTCATATCTGTCTTTGCCTCGGTTTGTTGTAGCCCCTTCAGTCCAGGAATGTTTTTCCAAAGCTCTTTTTGTTGTTGGCATTGGCCTCTGGTGGTCAGGTTGGGGAGCTTCATACTCTCCTCTGGCGCAGGAGTTTCTGCTCTTTTGGTCGTGGTTTGTTTGTTTGCAGCTGTCTCCTTTTCTGGTGAAGAATGAGACTACTGCTTTCTGAAGGGGACCTTGGGTTTTTGATGCTTGGTTGGTCAGGCCGGGCATGCAATCAAGTGTTGTGTCCGGTTGTGGCTCTCCACTGTTATTTGCGCACCACAGCCTCTGTGGGTGGGGATGCACTTTGGGTTGATCCGGTCTCCCTTCTTCCCTGTTCGCAGGTTCGGATCTCTCAGGTCGTCTGTAGGGTTATTCGGTCTTGCCAGCCTGCAGTCTATTCCCATTCCCATGACGTTTGTTAGTTTGCTGTGCTTGCTGCTGTCTTCAGTATCATGTCTTGGGTTGACATTTGGGCACGGGGTTTTTGTTGGTCGAACAGGGTCCAGGCTGCACACTACCTTGTTAATGTTTCTGGGCCTAGTCAGGTCTGTGTCGGGTCGGCAGTTGCAACCTGTTGTTTGGACTTAGAGTTGAGGTGCTATCACCGACCACCTCCTGGGTAAGTTCCTCAAGTTTTCATCTTAGGTGAAGTAGTTCCGGGGAGCCGAAGGGGTCCCCCCCCCCCAGAAAACCAGCATTGAATGTAATGAATTACCATTTTCTGGGTGAGTCCTGGAGGCTCCCCGGCAACCCTCCATCCCTTCGGTCGGCCGTTTTTCGCTTGTTTTTTACATCCAGCCTCAGAACTGGTGGGTGGATTGCCATCATTGGGGTCTGGGACTCCCCCCCCCCCCCCCTCCCAGAGAGGGGGAAGCTGCGCATACATTCAGCGCAGCTCGTGTGATGTCATGCTTGTTTGCTCGTTTTCATTTGGGGAGTTTTGTCCACTAGATTGTCTATTTTAGTCATTTTAACCAGAAAAGGGAGTTGTTTTGAGGCACTTACCTTTCTTGGTGCCTGTCCTGGTCGATGGCAGATATAGAATGCTCCAAATCACATGTGCATTTCTATAGGCCATTGCTCCTCGTGCCTCTCTGAAGGGGCCAGGTTCTGGCCGTAGTCCCCAGTAGGCCTAGAACTCCATTCACACTGACTAATGCCAAAGTCGAACGATATACATATCAGCTTGGATAGCTCCAGGGTTTTTTTGTTTACTGTTAGGTACAGTACAACTGTAGAGTTACCGACATTGCATTCCAAGTGCCTGGACTTCCTGCAGGGAACACACATTCTGCAGGCCCTGGAAAACCCCCGCGGGCTCGGTGGTACTATGAATACCTCTTCCATGCCCGCTTTCGCTCTATGCGAATTTGAGGGTTGTCTGTTGTCTGTGCCACCAGGCGATGTTCATACATTCTGCCTCCGCTGTGCTGCCTGTTGGGTCAGTGACACCTTTGACCCAGAGTCATGTGGGATTTGTTCACCACACAGGCTCTCCTTACACATACACTCCTGATGATGTTCAGAGGTGTCTGGCAACAACTGCTTTGTGTGTTTGTTTTTCTGTGCTGCCAGTGGCTCTAATTGTGTGCCCATTTGGATGCCTTGGATTTGCCCCCCCACTTGGTGTTTAGGGACTTGGATTTGGAGGTGTTGGTTAGTTCAACCATGGTTCCATCTGCACCTCCTCTTTCTTTGCCAGTGGATGTGGTTCACCCTTCTTCCCCCTTATTCCTGTTTCCAGCCCAACTACTTGGCCTGGACGGTAGAGCGACGGTCTCGCTTCATACAGGTCGGCGTTCAATCCCCGACCGTCCAAGTGGTTGGGCACCATTCCTTTCCCGCACCGTCCCATCCCAAATCCTTATCCTGATCCCTTCCAAGTGCTATATAGTCGTATGGGCTTGGCGCTTTCCCCCTGATAGTTCCCTTCCCTTCCTGTTTCCAGCCCCAAAGTGTCCAAGGGTTTCAGAGTTTGGGCAGAGTTTAGCTTGTTTAAACAGGGGTTTAAACAGCTTGCAGAGGTTTAGTTCAGGAAGTCATACTACATTTAACACACTTGTTTTGAAGCTCTTATGAATATGAGAAGAATATTACCCCAATAGTTTCCATCATAAGCTTGTATGGTACTGTGTTTCTAAATTTTCATCACATGTTGTCATGTTTTCTTTTGTGTGCAATTTCTCAGCTGTTTTATGGATCTTTAAACTGATAGCAAAATTAGTGCAATGCTGATATTTTTCCTTGTAATTTGTCAATCTTGTTAATGTCATCAGATTAAGTGAACCTTTTTTGCCATGTGAAAGTTACCAACCTAGGCTATGAAAAAATAATGTAAATTGTTTTTATTAATAAAACACTGCAATTTATTTGTATATTTTAACCTTATTTATTATTTAGTCATTATATGAATTGAAAGTTTCTCCACTAAGCTTTATTTTGAATATTGATTTATTGGTAACTATGAAGCATTTCTTAAATTTGCATATTCTTTTTTCCTTTACAGGGAGAAAAATATGAAAATCACACAATATCTGTGTTGGTACCACCGGCATTACCAGCCAAGCAGCGTCCATATCAGGGCCGAGGTTCTTCGGAGGTACGGGCCCCGTCTACATACGATAATCTTGAATTTGATCATGTTGACGGTGGAGAAGTGAGATACAAGGTGAATTACAATATTATAAGTTTTCAGTAGATATTTTTTAATTTTACTGTATTACATTCAGTTGCCACCAAAAACTAAAACCTTCTGTGTCAAACATGATTCATGAACACTTACACAGAATAACATTCAGGTACCAAAGATATATGATGTCTCAAACATTAGGTGATAGGGAAACATGAGTCTTAGTGACTGGGATCTCTGCTGAATGCATGCTTGACATCACAAGTGACTGGCAAGTGAGACATCACAGCTGCTTGTTCATTTGTCTTGACAAAACCAGTCATCCACCACTAGGTGGGAACACCAGTGCTTATCAGGATTTCCAAACCAAAATCATGTCACATCTCACTGTGCTCATGCTCAAGAAGGAAGAGTATTATAATTTTAAAAGTGTTGATAAAGAATAAGAATGCATTGATGATGATGATAGATGTGTAATGTACAGTATGCAATATAGAGGAACCATCCTGTTTTTAAGAACATTATATATATTTCCTGTGTTTTACTTGTTTGCATGTTCTCTATTTTGAGAGTTTTTAGTTACACCTATAGTCCAGCCTGGGGCACAAGGCTTCTCCGGTGCTTTCGTAATCTGCGAGGCTTTATCAGTCTGAAATCTGCAGTTCCAATTCCATTGTACATGAAGTGGTTTAAATTCATGAACATTCAACTTACTCATGTATAGTTGTGTATTGAATTACATTGTTGTAATCTAGAAATTCTCTTTTCCTATTTGATCTTACTACTACTACTACTAATATACAGTGGTACCTCGGAATGCGATTGTCCCTGTATGCGAGGTTTTCGGAAGGCGAGGTGTATTTACTCCAAAAATTTGTCTCAGAAGGCGAGGGTTACTTCGGGAGGCGAGTTTGGACGCGAGTTTGTTGATACGCGTACAGCCGACCTAGCGCGTTCGTCGCCCCTCCGCCCCGCCGCCCCTCAGTTTATTATTGTCTCGCGCTCAGTGACTACCCCCACATCAATTCTTCTCGCGGATTTTCAGTGTTTTGTTGGATTTTTGGTGATTTGTCTATACAATTTGTTATTATATATCTCACCATGGGTCCCAAGAAAGCCAGTGGTAAGGATAAAGGCCAGAAAGCTCATGTGAGGATGACAATAGAGGAGAAACAAGAGATCATTCGGAAGCATGAGAACGGTACACGTGTTGTTGAACTTTGTAGGCAGTACAACAAAGCCACATCAACAATATGCACTATACTTAAGAAGAAAAATAAGATTATGGGTGCTAAAGTGGCAAAAGGAGTAAGAACATTAACGGCACAAAGACCACAAATACTTGAAGAAGTGGAAAAGTTGTTATTAATTTGGATACACGACAAGGAGTTGAGGGGTGATAGTGTTTCGGAGGCCATTATTTGTGAGAAAGCCAGGGTGTTGCACGAAGACCTTCTAAAGAATACCCCTGCAACGAGTGATGCAGATAAGAAAGAGTTTAAGGCAAGCAGGGGCTGGTTTGAAAAATTTAGAAAGAGAAGTGGTATCCATAGTGTTACAAGGCATGGGGTTATGTGATGTGATTATGGAAGGGGACTCCCCTTCCAAACAGTAACTCCTCTCCTCCTCCCCCCTCCTCACCATCTTCCATACGCCTACAGCACTCGACAGCAAGGTAAGTAATAACTGGAACACAGTTTTGTAGGTTTATTTAGATGAATTAGGTAAATTAGGTATAAAAATTTAGTTTGATGTGGGGTTTTTGGGGTAGTCAGGAACGGATTAATTCATTTCCCTTTATTTCTTATGGGGAAATTAACTTCGGAATGCGAGTTTTCGGAAGGCGAGGCGTCTCCAGGAACGGATTAAACTCTTATTCTGAGGTATGCCTGTATTATAATATTCAGTGCTCTTCAATATAATAATCTAAATTTTAGTAATAATGTCTAAATTTAAGACCAGGAATTAAAAAACATAAAACCTTAAATCATCATCCAAATTGAACAGGAAAACAATAGTTCCTGATGTACAGTACGAGAATAAATTTGTTTTGCTTTTGCACACCAAATATATCTAATAACAAATATTCCACTGTGTACTTAATTATATTATTATTATTGCATGTATTATTATTTTGTGGGTTTGGTAATTTAAAAAATTAGTAACGCAGTCACTACTTTCTTGACTCACACTAGGGGGAGGGGGACTCCGGGTTTGATCCTTGGGCAGGACAGAAATGGTTGGGCAATTTTCTTTTCACCTAATGCATCTGTTCACCTAGCAGCAAGCAGGTACCCAGAAGTTAGGTAACTGTTGTGGGGTTGCATCCTGGGGAGGGTCAAGAGTTCAACCTGGGGGGGGGGCTCAGTATAAGCCTAGAGAATATATATATGAACAGGCTTCCTGTTGCCGACATCAATAATTATCAACTCTTTTTGATTTCCTAATTGTTTTGCAGTTCATGAGTACATGAAACTGTTTGGTCAAGTGAGTGAACCTAATCCAAATGAATTGTTACGTCATTCTGTCCATCAAATGCACCTCGTCTCATCCATGGAGTCTCATATTCATGAGCATGAGCACGAACATGAACATGACTTATTCCATACTGCTCCATATCCAACAATGATTGATGGGTAAGTTTTTTTTTTTGTATCATTGTACTAATTAATCACAGTATGGTGCATGTTATCCTGTGTGTGGTCATGTAATTTTGTTGGTTAAGTTTACATTAGGAATTTAAAGGAACAATAGTGTATTTTACATTTTGTAGCCAGCCACAAACTGAAATGATACATGAATACATTTCAGAAAGTTACCAGGGAAAATCAAGCCCCTGCAATAGCTATTCAACAACCAATGCAACAGTCATTGTTAACTTAGTTTAGCTATGCATGTGCAAAACTGATGCACCTGCAACACTGCAAAAGTGATGCACCTGCAGCACTGCAAAAGTGATGCACATATAACACTGCAAAAGTGATGCACCTGCAACACTGCAAAAGTGATGCACCTGCAACACTGCAAAAGTGATGCACCTGCAACACTGCAAAAGTGATGCACCTGCAACACTGCAAAAGTGATGCACCTGCAACACTGCAAAAGTGATGCACCTGCAACACTGCAAAAGTGATGCACGTGCAACACTGTAACAGATGTTCAGTGATGCACTGCATATAGCTGAAAGTAGAATGAGGTTTATAGATGCAGGTGAATAATGCAAACAACAATAATACAAACAGCAATTTTTGCTTTTGTTTACTATAGCAGCAGTTTAGTAATTTGGAAGAAAGGAAAGGAAAATATATGTACTTTTCCTTGCAGAAAGTTAATTTATTGGATATATTTTACCATTTGCTAGGTTTATCAATTTAGTTTGTTAATCAAAATGAATGCTTAATAATTATACTTTGTTTCTGATAGTGCTTGATTATTGTTTTATTTTTTCTAGCAGGATAAGCCATATAGCCATCCAGCCACCAGCATTACCTCCCAAAATGAGGAGAGGAAATTTTGTTATGCAAACCAGGCAATCCTTGCCAGTAGCATCACAGGCTCTACCCATCACACATGTCCTCATCGACCACGCACACCAGAATTCTTGTGTTTTGTGAGTTTAAATAATGTTTTTATAGTAAAGTTATGTAATCAACATTTTCACATTTTTCATGATACTGCGTACAAGTCAATAAGAAAAAAAGATTGCATATTCAGGTAAAAATTAGAGGTCTATCGATACTAAATCTGCATTGTCGTCATACTATACTGTACTCCAATGCTGATATTCAATATGTTATTGTAGATGTTACAACTTAAGACATAAGGCTTCTCATGATCTCACAGTTTCTAAAATTGACATTATAAATTCATATTCAATAATTATAACAAGTCATAACATAACTATTCCTGCTAACTCTGCCAAATGAAACTGTATTAATTGGACTCCCCAGCAGTGTCCCCAGCAGGAATTTACGATTAGTAACACTTGAATATAAAAGTCCATAGCTATTTTGCATAACTATCGAATTTTAAAGTGCTCAGATCAAGGTACCTAGCATTTCCACCATGTAGAGTTTGAGACTTTTAATGAAAATATTTAAATTATCCTGCTTAAAACTTAAGTTTTGTGGTTTTGCCTCCCATCCTAAGCTCAATGCCAGAGAGCACAATTAGGTAAGCAGCAAGTGGGTGGGGGTAAGAATAGTGGGAAAGATGGTGGGTGAATTAGAAACGAGTGGGGGCAGGGGGTGGGTTGAGTTGTGATTGGATGGGTTGTATAGTTGGTTAGGGGTATGAGCACTCACCTGATTGTGCTTAGGCAGTGGATGGGTGTTGTAAGATTTATATGCTGGTTTCAGAAAGGTTATAGCCAACCTTTTAGGCTAAGGTTATGGTTATGTGGAAAGGTTATGGAAAGGTTATGTGTTTTTCAACTTCTGCATTGTTAAATCCTGATGGCAATTTGAATTAATTTGTAGTTTTGCATTGTGTTTTGATAATGTTCTAATAGTCTGTCGGAAATTTCTCGTCAATGCTAACATTTTCTCTTATTCTGGAACCTTTAAGTCTAGAGTCCGGTTTTTCAGTTGATAAGAGCATGATACTGGTGTTAACACTATCGCTCGCTTTGAACACCGATCACCTCCATTTTTTTCTCTAGAGTCCTGGCCATGGACAGCACTCGCGTCCATTACAAAAATATTTATATAAAATTAATTTTTTATCTGATCAACCTCGGGATAGTTTCAAAATAAGCGCCTTTAGAGTGCGCACAATTTGATACCAAAATTAAAGATGTAACATGAAACTTGATGTCAGAACACTTGAAAGATTATAAATACATTTTGGGTCTAAATTTAAAATTTAAAAATATTTGTTAAAATTTTATTTATTGTGCTATTATTATGGGACTAGTTTTAAAATGTGCGCCTTTAGATTGCAAACAATTTGATACCAAAACGAGTGACGTAACGCGAAAATTGATGTCAGAACACAGGAAAGATATAAATAATTATGTGATGATGAGCGTCCAAAATTAAAATATTTGTTAAAATTCCAGTTATTGCTCTATTATTATGAGACTAGTTTTAAAATGCGAGCCTTTATAATATTGTGAACAATTTGATACCAAAACGAGCGATGTAACACGAAAATTGATGTTATCAAACTGAACGAGTATACACATTAGGTTGTGGTGTGCAAATTGGTGCTTGGTCATGGGTAACTTTAGGCATTGCTGCAGGGAGTCTCGCCAGGCTTTTGGACATTATATGCATATACACCTGCATTGAATTTAATTGCAAACACAATGATAACAAAACTAACGATGTAGCACGAGAATTAAGGTGAGAAAACTGAAACGAGTATACACATTTTACTGATTTTGTGCGCTCACAGGTAACTTTTGCCGACTTTAGGCTTTGCTGTGGGGAGTCATGTCGGGTTTTTGGACATTATATGCATATACACCTGTAGGCAATTCCATTGCGAACACAATGATACCAAAACGAACGACGTAACACGAGAATTAAGGTGAGAAAACTGAAACGAGTATACACATTTAGGCGTCGCCGCATGCTCGCCCGCACTGTCCGCCCCATAAGCCGCCCCACTATCGTGCCGCGCACGATAGTGTTAAGTGGCAGACAAACGCCTAAAGTGTTCAAGCTGCGGTAGAGCATCTAATTATCGTCAGATGTGATATATAAGTGGCAAAAGGGGCCTACGGTCTATGCAAACTCATTCTGGGTAAGGGCTGATTGTCCCTATCCAGAATTAGTTCTTTAATTAAAATTATCATTTCGGGGTGGGATTGTTGTGTCTAATGTTTGTTACTGTTGTATGTCAATGAGTTAATCTCTCGGTGGTGACTTGAGTTACATTTGCCACTGTTCCCCCCTGTTCCCAACTATGCAAGCAGACTGTTTGGAATGCCACTGGTCATGATCTGGTAAACAAATTAAAGCTCTCCAGACTGAATGTCTGTTAACCCATATAGTCCATTGGCTCGAGATGATAATCAAAGGGCCTTAGCTAATAGATGTAAGAATTTTAGTGTAACAAAAATCAGACTCTCATAAAACTCAATAAATTGTAAATTATATATCAGATGTTTTTGAAAGTACGGTTCAGGTAAGTTATACTAAGCTAGTACAGGTTATTGTACTTAGTATAACGATTACAGAGTTAATAATATAGTACTGTACTTTTATTTTCAGAGATGATAATAACATATGTAGAAAATCAATGGAAGAAAAAGATGAACCAGAGGAGGTTATAATTAAGGATCAATCATTAGAAATAGAAAGGAAGAAAGAGTTGGAGATGAAAGAGGAAGAGATAGAAGATGAAGAGGAAGAAGGACCCTTGGACCTCCTTGATGTGAAAGAATATTTGATTTTGAAAAAGGATGGCGATGAAGGTCCAGACGTGAGAGGCGGCACAGTAGATGCTCTCATCGTACATGCATCTAAAGCTAATAAAAATGGTAGGACAAGTTTTGTAATGGGAGGTGTAATAAACACACCTAAAATCAAATGTCTGATATCACTAATTAAGAGTTCATTAAGAGCTTTTTTCATAGATGATTGGCAGTTTTGATTTTGATGATTTTCAGGTTCAGGATGATATTATACATACAGTGATATACCCAAAAGAAAGGTGATTGTTTCTCATGGCTAAACTTTGGACAGTTGACTCCAAACTCAGACAAATTCAAGGCACAGCAATGTAACAGATTTGAATACCACAGGGTTTGTGACACGCTACATTAACCTAACACTGGTAAATTTATGAAAACATATGTTTAGGATCACTAAGATACTATGCACATTTTCGTAAAAAAAAAAAGAAAATGCTTAAAATGATTTTAATATCAAATTTAAATAGTTATTAAAAGTTACTTTTTAAATCATGTTATTATTTTGTTTATTGGTAACAAATAATAATAAATGAAAGATTCAAATTGGAACATAATAGTTGTTCATTCTTCAGCTGATGTTAAGTTACATTATATGGCATAATGCACAGTTGCCAATGTTCTGGATTGGATGTCATTCAAATTAGAGAAGTTTAGAGAGGCCATGAGTAACTGAGCACACTTGAATATTTGTCAAGAATTAATTAGGAAGAGAAGGCAGAGAGAAAGATGTATGGCAGCAGAGTGTATGAGCCACTGAGAGCAGTGCATGTGTTGATGATCCTGGTCGTGATCAATAATTTAGGATGTGAAAGTTAGCTCAATGTCCGACACTTTTGTAAATAATATTCTAGTCTTGAAATGTGCTCAATTTTCTAAAAGTGCAATACAATACACACTCATTATTGAGCCTTGTATTATATTGTTTACTCTGATGTATTAAGCTATGCCTTTATAGCAGTAATATATTCCTTACTTCATTAACCGTTGAGAAAGTAAGACTTACTTATCATATGGATCAAACAGCCTATTATTCCAATCATTTTCTTGCTAAATGTATTAAAAGCTACATATCTAATAAGTATTATAAAGTGATACTGGTGGAACATTGACATTGAGACACCAGCACTGATGCTCATTTCCCGGTACATCTGTTTTAGGAAGTAAGATCCTAATACCAACCAAACCTTCCACTTCTCTTCACTATTTTAGAATTAGATCTAAATCTGCATTTTTGTGGCTGCTATGCCCTAGTTAAGGCTTTTTGTAAAATTAAATTAGAGCAAGTACTGATATATTTGGTTATATACTTTTTTTGTTTGTTCTTTTCATGTGTAACAGAGGATGAGGAAAAGGATGGTAAGGTTTGAGTAGGTTTGCTCTGATAAGATGCATGGGTTGAGTATATCCAGTCCTATCATTTGCTGTTTTACATCTCCTATATGAGACATCTCAGATAAATAGCCTTACTCCAAGGTTTTAGCCAGTAAATTTAACTGACATCAGAATAACTGATATTTAATGAATGACAGTTTTCTTGTATAAAAAAGTAGCTTCATCAGAAAAGTAATAGCTATATGAAAGTTGATAAATTGCTAAGTACACTGACTTAGGTACCAATGTATGTATTTGTTAGCTTGTGTGCGCGTATGCATGTGCATCTTTGTGTGTAAATTTGGGTATATTTGTGCATGTATATTATTGTGGGTGTGTGCTAGTACAGTACATGCCATCATCTGTATTTACTTAGATTTCTTTTTAGGTAAGCGAGCTCTAGCTCTTGGGTCTTGCTTTTTAGCTTTCAGTTGTTTAATGAAATAACTCAAAAACTCTTGATTACATTTATCATATCTACACATGAAGCTATAGATGAAATTAGTCTTTTCCACCACCTTATCCAGTTCATCTCGCTTGTTAATTACTTTGTTAAATTAATCATTTTGTATTTTTACTGCTGTGCTTCTTGTTTCCACCTGTGTCCTCATTTCACTCCTTACCTATCATGCCAAAAACCTGGTCATTATGGCATTAGAGAGATTTATTAGTAATTAAATTTCAGCTATATGAATCAGACTAAGCAGACAAGGGTAGACTGCTCCTTAGTTTTTATCTTTTCTTATTTCTTTTCTTAACTATTCTTGCTAGTGTTATAAAATATTTTTTAAATGAACTTCCATATTCATACTTCTATTGTATATAGCTTTCTTTCCACTTTGGGTCATTATTACTTAACCTAACTAATTTATGTGGTATGATACATCCCTGGACTTCAATTATAAAATACCTAAATGAGCTTCAAGTCTCATCCACATCGCAATCCAGCATCAGGTCGGCTGCTGCTAGAGATATGTCACAGCTCAAGAGATGGCCCACTTTCAATGTTTAGGAAGGAATGATACAATGAAGATGACTAGGACAATATGGGATTATGTGCATACCAGAATAGTGTCTGAAGAAGTAGAACAAGCAATGCAATGAAAATTGCAGGAAATGATAAAAGAGTTATAAAGAAAACTGGTCAAGTAAGAGAGGACAGTGAGGGGAGAAATGCATGGAAATAATGAAATGGTTTCAGAGGGATGTTACTGAACCTAAAAGATGCATTGAAACTGGGAAATGAGTAGGGTGAAAATACAGGTCAGATACTGTAATAATAAGGTAAACTGAGAGTTAGACAAAGGAAGGGGAGGGAAAGTCAGAAGTTGGTAAAAGACAGAGAATGAAAATGTATGAACTTTTTTAATCACCTTCAACGATACAGGGGAAGGCGAGATAAATTTATGATATAAGGCAGTGGAACGATAAGACAGACAGAAACTGCATGACAGCAGTTGCGCTCAGAAGTTGAGAGAGAAATCAAAACAATCACGGTACAAGCTCTAAGGACTCGGCAGGGAGTGCAGTGCACCACAATGGTGGTGATGATCATATGCAAACTACCAAAGCCAGTGTGAAGGACATAAAAAGAAAGGCATAAATATAACTGAAGAAGGTAACAGAGATCCCACAGATATCTATGACAAGTGAGATGTTAAAAGATTCAGAAATGCAATAGGAGTGGGATGTACTGAACAGGGCACGAACAATTTTTCAGTGTAATACCCAAAGCTCGAAAGTCAGTCAGCCCTATCTGGGATGAAAAGAGGAAACTGAGGGATGAATGTAAATTTTAGAAGGTTTACTTAATTCAAAACATAACTTAGAGCTGAGAGAAGAGTAAAAGAAAAATTGAAAGACAAAGCAAACTGCAAATGAAGGGAAGGGTACCATGGTACCGAGCTGTAGTGAATATGTGGATCTGTGGGCCACTCCAAGCAACAACCTGTTGAACCAAACTCTCACAAGTCAACTTGTGTAGACTTGTAGAGTAGAAGTACTTGAATTTGTACCTGAATTTCATCCAGGTACATTCCAAGAAGCAAAAGATGAAAAAATAGAAAAGACAGACGAGGTGTACTCATGAGATAAATGGCAGAACAATAGTTATGTTGCATATTAATGTGTATTATCGCTACCTACATTTTGTAGTGTTTTGATAAATGAAAACCTACTACGTTTGTTGAAAACTAAGGAATAAGTTCAATAAGACCAAATCTGATTTATTATATATATATAATAAACTTAAATAACATTTAAACAACAACTATATGATATGTAAAGCAGAAACATAAATATATTTACTGTATTGTCTTTCATATTTTAATCAATAATTACCAAGGAAATATTATGTGAAAATGATTTTATCTGAATACTTTGTATTATTGTACATGGCAGACAGGTGTTAAAAAGAGCTCAAGCTAACAACATTAGAAGAACCAGAGTAGATGTAATCACATCATACAAATACTGAGGAGAATAGATGAGATGGAAAGGGACAGTCTAGTCCATATGGAAAGAATAAGAAAGAGGAGGCACTGGCAGAAGCTGAAAATATTAATGAATTTGAGATATAATAAATCACTGAAAAGTAGTGAGAGTGGTAGGCAAGTGGGGCAAACTGCGAGCAGAGATGGTGGATAACACTGTACACTAGTGTATTCAATTGTTGGAATAATCATATAAGTATTCCATGTGGTAGCTAGGAGGCTGGACATGTGAGGTAGATGCTGCTTTCCGTAAGCACCCTCAAGTAAGCGTAGCTAGACAAGTACTGTACGTACATTTGGATACGTCTAAGTGCTTGTCCAGCACTTGCCCATCTTGTTTACAGGTAGGTGGTTAGGTTGTAATTATGTACTGAGTTAATTTATTCATGCATGTGCTTGTGTCTTTGATGTGTACATCACTATATACAGTAAGATTTGTCAGTAGTCTAAATAACCATATATGAGTAGCCTATCTTTAACTAACCATCTACCAGTATTCTATCTGAGATTAATTTTCTGCCACCACTTGAAACATATCTGTACTGGTAATTTTTAAATTTACAAGCATCTCTCACTATTTAGTTGTTAATGTAGTATGGCTGTTCGCACCTTTTTCTGGGGGGAACCCCTGCGGCTCCCCGGAGCTTACTAGTCTGATATGCTAATGTCGGACTTTGGCATCAGTCATGTGTATGGAGTTCTGTGGGCATACCAGGGACCACGAGCCAGAACCTGGCCCCCCTCAGAGAGGCATGGGGAGCAATGGCCTATAGAAACCCCCGTGTGGTTGGAAGCATTCTATGTCTGCCATCGACCAGATCAGGTACCCAGAAAGGCAAGCATCCCAAAACAAACTGCTATTCTGGTGAAAATATTGCTACCAAAAGCCGAACAAGTGGATAGAACTCCCCTAAAACAAACGAGAAAATGAGCATGACGTCACATGTCGCCGTGCCGCTGTCTGCGCAGCTCCCCCCTTCCCCTTCCACCCTTCAGTTCTAAGGCTGTCGTGTGCTCTGGCCCCAGTGGTTGTTTCAGCACTGTATCTAGTGTGTGGTGACTGTCTTCTAGGTGGTGCGTGAGCCAGGAATGATTCTCCAGTACTCGGGCTTCATGTGCCTAGGGTTTCCTTCCCTAGGTGCCCTGTAAGTACTGCCCTTGGGGCTTGGGGACACCTTCCACAAGTTACTTGGGTTCTGCCTC